GGCCGTTGAAGCAAGAAAGCATCGCGGATTCAGAATCACTGGTGAAGATGGCTCTGATTTCGGCCGCTGGCATTTTGAACCCGAAAGAGCCCACAAAACTGATTCTCGATGTTAGCGGCGTTATGCGTAGCAGTGGGGTCAAACTTGAGCAGTGCAAATCGGCGAACCTTTAGAACAAATTCCTCAACGTAGTGCACTGTCAGCCCTAAGTAGTGCAGTCGAGAGTATTTTTCTCCCCACAAGTCGGCAGTCAGCGCACCTGCCATACTTTCGTTCGGAACCAGCAACAGAGTCCGTAACAGCGCAGCGAGGTCTATCTGCGCGAGTTTGTGGATCTTCACAATATTTCTTGAAAGCGTCGTGGGATGAGGCATTAAGCCGTATTGCCCGTCCAAAATCAGTCGTGCCTTCATGCGCTTACCAATGTCAAGAAGGATTTCGAACAGTGTCTTTATCGATTCGGAAGCAAAAGACTGATACGGACGGCCGTCATTGACGCAAACGCGAACACACCCCTCTGTCACTCGGCGCTTTGTCGAACGATCCGGGGCCACAGTTGAAAATTCGTCAAGAGTACGCTGACGTATTCGGTTTGTGTCTGTTCCGAAACCTTAAGGTGGCGTTTGAGATTTTTTGTTTTAGAAAGTGAACTCTTCTCACTACGAAAACGTACAACGGTTTTAGAACACCGAGTGCAGACACAGAATGCCGTTTCATCCCCAAAGAGATCTGTCATGGTATCCTTGCATCCCGGACTGGTAAAACTTGTAGGGGGCGCCCGGGTCAGCAGCCCATCTTTCTCCAAAAGCTCTAAGACCTTCTTCGATGTCAACGCAACACTGTTCTCGTCCTCCTCACCCACCATATCGTCTGGTTGTGAACCGCCATCGTTCTCATCTTGGGCTGGGTCTGATAGCACTGGTAAGTCGTCTTTTTCATCAGCATTGTCAGCAGCGGCCCCAGGTCTTGTAAACCGATAGACCTGGCCAGTTTGGATACGGGAAACTTGGCATCGACATAGCGTAGGAGCGGGCCGCTT